AATGTACTAGACAATGTGATAGGCATTTGCATAAGTATCTCATTAATACCACAATTCTGTGAAAATGCTATCACTATTCCCATTTTTATAAATAAGCTGAGGTTCACAAAGAAAGGTCACTGGACCAAGATCACACATGTAGTAAAAGGCAGAGGTAGAAATTGAAGCCAGGTGTTTCTGACTCTAGATTCCCACTAACACCATAACCACCACCATCACCACCACCACCACCACCACGACCACCATCACCACCACTACCACCACCATGACCACCACTTCTCTTTCCTTAAGCCCACATGGCTTTCCTGTGGCAAGAGAAGTCTAAAGAAATGGTCTCTAAGTCTCCCTTTCAACTTTGAGTCTCTAATCTTCAACTCACTTTTTCAGGATGCTTAATGGAATTTAATTATGAATGTCCTGCAGAAACACAGCCTAGTGAGCTTGAAATCTGAGGCCTAACAGGTAAATAAATGCCATGTTCTCTTTAGCAAACATAAAGCCATTACAGGCCAGCATCATAAAACTAATTCCTTTATAATTTTTTAAGAACACTGACAAAATAAGACTTATTATTTCCAATATTTTAATTGCCTCTATCTCCTTTGTACTTCACCCTTCATTTTATTGTTAGTCAGAATAAGTAAATTTCATTTCAGATTATTGTATGTTAGGAAGATTATAATTAGAATGGATTAAATCTGAATTTGCAATCTATTTTCAGCCTATTAGACTAATTATTTAATTCCATCTGGAATTCACCACAGAAGGACAATGCTTCCCTGGGTTATAAAAAGCAAGGTGTCATTTCCCTGAGATTTGTCACAATTCAGGGTAGATTAGGACTTTCCTACCCAAATAAACTCTAAGAATAATTGCTAGTGAAATTCTTCCCGAGAAAGTCCAATTACATGAACTTGTCCTCATTTTAATAGAAAGATCAGCATTCAAATGCTTTATTAACATTTCAGTTAGACTTTACTTTGATAGTGCTACCAAGGCCCTTCTATAATTAATATCTTCAACAATCTCTCTCTTAAGTCTACATTCCACAAGTTGGTTTAACCAATGAAAATAAGGATTGTTTCTTATCTTTATTCTTCACAACCCAAGACTCTCTTCTATTCCCTATGCTACCTTCTCAGATTAGGTTTCTTTACTTCTCCTCTAAACTATGAAAACCACCTTCTGACTAATTCACTTCCAGTCACTGATATCACACTTTGAGACTCACCTTTCTTAATAATAGTTCTGAGCATGTCACTTCCAGGAAGGAAGGAAGGAAGGAAGGAAGGAAGGAAGGAAGGAAGGAAGGAAGGAAGGAAGGGGAAGGGAAGGGAAGGGAAGGGAAGGGAAGGGAAGGAAAGAAAGAAAGAAAGGAAAGGAAGAAAGGAAGGAAAGGAAAGGAAAGGAACAAGGAAGGAAAGGAAGGAAGGAAAGGAAAGGAAAGGAAAGGAGAAGGAGAAGGGGAAGGGAAGGGGAAGGGGAAGGGAGAAGGAGAGGAGAGGAGAGGAGAGGAGAGGAGAGGAGAGGAGAGGAGAGGAGAGGAAAAGCAAGAAAGCAAGAAAGCAAGAAAGCAAGCAAGCAAGCAAGCAAGCAAGCAAGCAAGAAAGAAAGAAAGAAAGAAAGAAAGAAAGAAAGAAAGAAAGAAAGAAAAAGAAAACAGTGCATTTCTATTTTGTAGTAAATATTGTTTAACCTTTTAGGCAAAAAATAGGATCCTAATCTTGACCCAGAATTTACCTTCATGACTTCTATCTTCTATTTCTAGCAGCATAACAGACTAAGTACCCTAAATGACCTTCCTAAATGGCCTACATGTCAAATAAAATTTAAAAATAATCCTTTGAAATTAATCACTGAACTATCATGAAAGAATATTCCAGAAGACAAAACAGAAGTAAAAGAGGGACTCCTGGTATGTAAGCATTTACCAAAGATTCCATTTGTCAGAGAGTTTTCTACTGATCCCAGGTGATCTAAAGCTCCTCTCAATGGCTGTGCCACACATGAGAGGCAGTAGAGAAACCATAGTCCTCGCTAAGAGATGGAGGTGGGTAACTCCCACATGCACATAGGATCCCAAAGCGTATCACATTTAGTGTAAGGGTGGCAAGAAATAAACCTGCCACACAGAAGGAGAAAGCCAGAAAGTTTGTCTCTATTGGCTTGGGTGCTGAAGTAGAAGAAAATATGCCTTGAGAAGCACATATAGGCTCTTCTCATGGTATTATACACTTGAATTCCTGATGCTTATATAGACCAAAAACCTTCAAGTGAATAATCTATGTGGAGTGATCTTACATTGGTAGTGCTACCACACAACTCTCAATAGCAAAGGCAATTCCTCTCTGGAAGAATCTGCTTCAATGTAGGCCAAACAAACTCCCATAGATACATGTCCAAAGAAAATGTGTAGCTCATAGTCAAAATTTAACAACACATAACAAATTATCCTTAGTGGGAGGGAGCAGAAAGAAGAGATAGCAGAGTCCAATGTGTAAAGATTTTAGATAGTATAATTATCAGACACACATTTTTATTTCTTTATTTTTATTAAACACCAGGTTTAATATAGCTAAAGAATCTTTAAAGCTTAAAAATAGAGTAAGAAATAATAAACTACAAAGAAGGACAAAACAGATTTGAAAAAAATAGAACTTTTATAATAAAAACATAATTAAAATGAAATTATACCCTTCCAAGCTCATCTTCCACCAGATTTCTAATTGTTCTCTAAATGTTCCCTGAACTTTCTTGTCTCTGTTCTTTTGCTCCCACTACTCTTCCATTTTCAATTGTAGTTTTTCCTCTATCTGTATTTCTAACTTATATCCATTGATTAAGGCTCAGTTGCAATGACAATACTTCCATTTAGCCACCACAAACATTCTTCCAAGTGAAATTATTCATATAGGTCTCCATATTTTGTTTACACATTATATTTGACACTTAGAATATCTTTTATTAGTTAGTTGTTGCTCAACTTATTTCTCCTATTAGATTATAAACATAAGGGAGAGAGGTCACAATATAAGCAACTCTATTTATCCTACCTGGCTGAGTATCTTGCCCAGAATAGATGTTCAATATATGCTGATTGAACTGACAGGAGCTAAAAATTCTTTTATTCCTATAATATACTTCATTCTATAGCCATAGAAACTTAAGCAATGAGCAACAATTGCCTAATTCTCACTATGCATTCATAAAAATGAACCAAAAATTGCATCCTCTGCAATATTCTATATCCTGCCATCTTTCCACTCACTGAGCTAGATTTCCACTATCATAGGAGACCCCTGTTCTTTCTTGTATCAAATTAAGTCCCAGTTTATCTCAATCTCTGTTATGGAATTATCATCATCATCATTATTATTGGTATCATTATGTTAATGATAAAATACTTCTTTAAGACCAATTCTGTTGAACATATTTAAGGGGATTTTTAATCATCAACACAAGTTACTGAATTAAATTAGATATTAAAAATCTTTTTTGTGCTGTTAGTGAGAGGTGAAGCTATATAAGGCATGTGGTAGGTGTATTGGACACTAAAAAGACAATGACTTGGAGTGAGATCCTTCATAGGGAATATAGAGGACTTTGAACTAAAATGTAGGTTTGTCTATGGGTTGGACAATAGTCAGAAAGGTTTTAAATAGAGAGGGGAAAAAATAAAAGTTAAGTAGAAAGCATGAATAATGAAAACAAGATTAAGAAAAGATGAAAAAGCAGCTACAGTGGGGATTAAAGATGGGGAATGTCTTTTAGAGAAAAGAAACTGTTCACTGAAAAACAATGTAGATAGACTTATAAATATCAGGTAAACAGTCAACCATTCTTTAATGCTCCCTTTCTCTTGGATAATACCAAAATGGTTTCAATTTTTAAAAAGGAAATTTGGCATGAAAGGGTTCTGTAACATGGCCTGCCCACTTACGGGATTTAGGGTAAAAAATGTAAACCAGCTGTGATATTGAGGTTTAAGAATAATCTGTTGTCCATATTCAGTAGCTTTTCCCATGGAATTACAAAAAGAATTGTATGATGGATAGTCTACATCCTAATTATGTAATTACACAGTGGAAAAGAACAGCTGAAGAGGAGCCATTTCATCTTTGTGTCCAATGCCCACATAATCTGTGTATCGCATAATGGATGGAGTTCCTACTATACAGTAAACCATAATTGTATTATGAAAGAATGAAATGTTGGTTTTCATATGGGATTAGAATACGTATGTTCAAGCCAGTAGAAATAAAATTAGCACTAATCTAAAGCTTCAACCTGAACATCAACCAAATCCAAATGAGTTATTATCAAGATTTTAATACATTTTTAGGGAAAAAATATTTTTGACTAAGTTCTTTGGCTCTTTTCAAGTGCATCCAGTTCCCAAAACAGGAATAGCAGTAGCATTCCATCAGATAAAGATATTAAGGATGAATGCCAAAACTTTCTAGGTGTGAACCTAATGGAAGTTTCTGAACCTAATGGAAAATCTAAGTGCTGAGCTCAGAGTAGGTAATCAATCATCTATTGTATCAACTATTTCTGTGCCTTTGATGTCAAGAGAGGTTATATGTGCTGCATCTCTTCTCAGAGAAACCTCTCCTTTCCATGTTACCAGAAAGCAATTCTAAGTGTGGAAAGTGTTACCACCACTATTAGCTATTCAAGAATAGCAGAATATGAAGTAAAAAAAAAAAAAAAAAACACCACACACACACACACACACACACACACTCACAAGCTCTGCTACCCTGGAAACATGACATAATGGAAAATATTATTTACAAAGTGTTAGAGGAGGACTGCAGGGGAAAGACATTACAAAGCGAGCTGCAGAAGCCTCGCAGAGAAAACTAGTAGCAGGTGACTTTTCGAGACACCTGTAGCAGAAACACTTGCTGATTTTAATTCTTAATCTTCATTCAAATCACAATGAACACCAGAGATATTTGGGTAGGTAGTGAACAGAGAGGGGAAAGTCTGCCAAAATAAATAGAAGTGAAATAAATGCTGGCAAAATCTGTCACTTAATCTTTCCAGGGTAAAACATCTTGGGCCCAAGAGAGTAGGAGCTATTTTTCCCTTCTCTGCTCATTTTCATTCTTTGTGTCTTGGCCTTTCTCCATCGTGTGGGGTTTCTGGGCAGCCAGCAAAGCTCTCCTTGCAGAGCCTGCGTCTTTGCTTACTGCAGCACCATGTCTTTCACTGCTACAGCATGTGACATGCTTAGGCTTGGAAATGGATTCGGGATTTAGTCCTGGGCCACCGGTACAAATTGTAGAGAACAGCTTGCTCAAACTCTGGGGGAAAGATGCTGACTTACAGTAATTGATAAGGTTATTCCTGCTGGATGATCCTCCAGTGCAGAAAAGGTAGCTACTGTGCTTAGTAGAGAACTGGGAACATCAGTTCCAGAAAAAATGGCTTCGCATTTCACATGACATCCAAGAATTATATCACTCCCTGTAGTCCACCGTATAATAAGAAGTCTGTAGCTTTCATTCGGTAAAAATTATTAATCATTGGTGGCTGAAAAATGAATCAGTGAAGTTAACCTACATTGTCAGGTTTGATTTATCTGGAGGTAAACAACATTCTAAGAGGATTTAGTGGGCTAGTGTTTAGTAAAAGGGTATGTCCAGGTCGTGGCACTACATAGATTGAATGTCCAAACATTTAAAAGCTCTTTCATCATTGGACCGAATACGAAAATGACAGCCATCATTTGGTGACCTTAGAATGTCCCAGCTATTTGTAACAGACTTTCAGTAGTGAATCTAACCTCCCATCAGGCTGGGGTTAAATAAATGACAAGTTATTTTTCTGACTTTAAGATTAATATTGAGCTGCCCTGTTATAAATATGTTCTTCTGAATAGAACATTAAATTACAATTATCTGGAGGAGTCTGTGAAGGAGGAAAGAAGAGAGAGATGATTTTTTTTTTGTTTTTGCTCCTCTTCATTTTATTTCATTAGGTTGGTGTCTTTATACCTCATAATATTTTTCTGTCGATACAGTGATTGTTACACTAACCACCTGTGCTAGACAAGCACCTGCCTTAAAAATGTAATTTTTAGCAAAGATTTAAATTGCAAACTAGAATTCCAAGGCCCCCTGCCAAAACAAACTCACTTTTCTTTTGAAGAGTATGTTGTCTCCCAAGGAAGATTTTCCTCTACAGTACTCTGTATTTTGACTTAATAGCAAATCTCTCTCTGTCTCTCACTAAATTTGTTCCTCTCTTGTCAGCTGGTTCAGGGCAATAACTTTAACAAGATCTCAAACAGCCAAGTGGGAGGACCTTTTCAAATTCTAAAAAAAAAAAAATTCTCTTAGTCATTAACTCACCCACATTTCAGGGATCAAGTTTTTGCCCGTATACAGTAGCCTCCCCTTGCCCATGAGGAATACCTTCCAAGACCTCCAGAGGATGCTTGAAACCGCTGATAGTACCGAATCCCTCATTGACTGTATCTACTATGTTTTTTTCCCATGCATGCATACCTATGATAAAGTTTAATTTATAAATTACGAACAATAATCTTGTGCTTTTGGAATATTATTAAGTAAAATAAGAGTTACTTGAACATAAGCAGTGCAACACTGTGACAGTTGATCTGACAGCAGCGATGGCTACTAAGTAACTAAGGGGCAGGTATCGTAGACAGTGGATACAGTGGTCGGTGTGGACACAGTAGACAGTGTGAATACAGTAGACAAAGGAAGGATTCACATCCCTGTGAAATGGTGTAATATTTCACCACCCTACTCAGCATGATGTGCAATTTAAAACTTATAAATTGTTTATTTCTGGAATTTTCACTTAATATTTTTGGACCACAGTTCACTGTGGATAACTGAAACCACAAAAAATGAAACCACCAAGAAGAGAGGACTATGGTACACAATTTCAGTAATGAAAATTTTCAGTAACGAAAAAATTCCGAACATGACAAGCTGACCTGTTCCTTTATGTTCAAGCTTTATTTAAGGAGCATATTAAGGTTTCTTTTATAATCTGGCTCTGAAAATGGCTAAAACGCCCTATCCTCCACCTCTCATGTCCTCTGGTTCCCAGGGTGCAATGGGCAGCAAGGAAATGCTACTCGGCTCTGGAGAGAGACTTGAGTTTGAATCTCTACCTGGCCATAAGAAGCATCAAGTTACCAGGCCATTTCTTTCAACATAAACCTATTAATCCCCATAGTACAAAGAGATGAAAATTAAATGTGACTTTTTCTAATATAAACTCCTGAAAAAACTCAAAAATAACTCAAGTAGGGACAGTGACTTTCTGATATCTCATACTGAAATGGGGCTCAGTGATGGAAAATGGCCAGTGGGCCCCCCCAGGAAATGTTTCTAGAGACAACTCAAGCGCCAAGTGATGACGCTTGTTGAGTTCAGTTTAAAGACAGAACAGACAGAAACTTCATGGGACACTTCACAGGATTAAAACCCTGTTATCACCATGATGTCCCACAATAAGACACACATACTACTAGGAGCTCAATAAATAGTTGACAAGAAAAAAGAAAAAGTGGGTCCCCCAATCTCAATGTTCCTCAGCTGCAACACAAACCCTCTGCATGTTGCATGTGCCTTGTCCACCTTTTCACCCTGTGTCACTCTCCTGAGACTCCATGGGCAAAGGAAACCAACATGCTGTAGCTTGCTGTGCTATGAATAACAAAATCTCCGACTCAGAAATCTCATGTATTCTGGCAGCATCCATGAAACAGCAATAGGCTATTAGCCTGTAGGGAGAGTACAAACCCCAGACAAAACAATGACATGTTTTGTGTCTCCTACTTAACTACAACCTTCTTGAGGACAGTATTTACGTAGGATTCACTCTTGTACCACCCGAACACAGTGTTTGCATGGGATAAGTACTAAGAAAAGTGTGTTGACTGGTTAGATGGTTGAGTTAACTTATCTACCAACATTTCAGTAGCAATTATTGTGTTTATTCATACATAAAATAATATGAACTCTCAAACAGACTTTGAGTTCATGTTAAAAATAAAAAGTGGGAAAAAAAATATATACAGTGGCCCAACTTAGCATCAACAAACTTAATTGTTCTACCTGAACAGAAGATAATACCACTTCACATTTGAATGATTTATACCTTAAAAAGTTCTTCCACCTTTCTTATTTTCCACCTCAAAACATGGAGGTAGAAAAAGCATCATTATTCCCTCAGGGATGAAAAAATTAGTTTGTAATTTAAACCCAAGATCATTCAGCTGGTAGATACCTGCAGCCATGATCTTCACCCTTCAGAGTTAGGGCTTGTTAGGGCTCGTTTCAAAATGTGGTGTTATCAATAGCATCTTAATTCATCCATGTTTCTTCTTTGAAGGTTTCTACTCGTGTACTGATTAAGCTTAATAGATATAGTCCTGCCAATCTTTTCAGATTATTTTGTGTGTGTGGTTGGGAAGAAATACAATTTCATTATTGAACAGGAAAAACAGGTCTGCAAATCTTTTCAAGTATGATCTGTATTGAATACCATATCTTCTCACATCCCATATAGACAACTCAACAATACAATGAAGCGAGTAGACTTGATAGATGCATTTATTTTAGTACACGTTTCAAAAGCTAATCAATAAATTCAAGATTTTCTTTTTAAAAAGACAAATCTCACAATGCAATATCTATTAAAATTGTATTGGTATTTGAGTGGTTTTTTTTTATTGATTTATTTGTGAATGGGGCCAAACTTATACCACTATCAACACAAAGCTTAGTAGTTTTAAATCTCCAAAGTCCTCTTCCTACATGCTCTAGAACTGTGCGTCGACTGTAAAGAATTGAGTTTTTTTTAACTAGTTTCCCATCTTTTAAAATCATCTTAATTTATGATAATATATACTATCTCATGCTAAGTGAAATAAATTGCCTGAAAGGCAAGAAAAATGCACTTAAGTGCTATACACATCAGAAATCATTCACATTTCCCTGTTTTTCCAAAGAAAAACTTTGAAATATTAGCAGTTAAAACTTTTCTTCAGTGCTCCGTATCTCACTACTCAGCATTATTTCCTCCAGAGTAATTAGGATTTTTATCTGGCATGTGAGAAAAAAAAAAAACAGAGTTTGAACAATTTAGTAGTTCTGCTTCATGTGACCTAGCCAGCTGCAAAAATAACCATCCTATATCAAGATCATATTTCATAATTTCTAATTGCTACATAATTGATAAACTCTCAAAGTTTTTAGGCTGGCAGAAATAACATGCTTTATGTGTTGTGAACTCGGGGCAGAAGGGAGAGAGGAGTGAGATGACGAACATAAGGCCATCAAATACTCCGAATGGATCCGTCCGGTGAGTGTGACATCAGTGTTCTGCTTAAAATTTTCATTCAGTTCCTGTTTGATTTAGACACCTCTTGCAGACAGTCCCATATAACCCCCAATTCATCTGTTTTTAGACAAATGCTGTCCAAGTATTAATATGCGCAAGTTGGCAATTGGGGGGCTGTATGGATTTTCTTTTGTCATTCTTAATTCTATCGCATATCTAAAATAAAAAATACACAATGAATCTGTTATTTTACCCAACCCTTAGACAAGAAGAAAATAATCTGTAGTAACATACAACCTATATGCTGTGGTAGATCTGCTATTAATAGATGGAAAGTAAAAGAGAGAGAAGAAAAGAGGAAGGAAGGAAGGGAGTAAAGTAGTAAAGCACGGATAGAGGAAAATGAAAATGGAGACAGGCAGATAAACCCTCGTTCAAGGTTGCCCAGTAACATGACCTCGTGTTCTTATACCCTGCACTCCTGCTTCCATGCAATTCTGAGCTTGTTCTCAGATTACTGGTCTGGAAGAGACACCTGAGTTAATGAACCTGCCTGTATTTCACACAGTCACACAGGTTTCTGTTCCAACTCTTATTCGAACTACCACCCAATATGTATGTAATAAAATCAATCATACAGTAGCCCGCTTTCGACTTCAGGCTAATCCTGAATGAATGTTTAGATATTATCTTCATATTAATAAAGGCCCAATTCTGATGTCTGAGAAGACATAATTTTTAAAAACCCTCATTTTCACATTAAGCCAAACAAAACCCAATGGTAGGATTTTCTTGAATGAAACATTAAAGAATCACATAAACAGTGTGAACAACTTAATTGTGTACAGACCTCTGAAAAGGTTAACTCCAGAAGAAAAAAAAAAGTATTTCCTATATCACAGAGAACTCTCCTTTAAACTCATTAATTGGCCATTTATAATCTATTTGAATGTCTACTTCTCTATTCATAAGAATAGAGTTCTAAGAACATTGTTACATGCATAATATGCAGCTACTTATCAACAATCTTGTCACTTAATGGCAAAAGAGGTAGGAAGAACTAGATGAATAAAGATTTCCCTCTTTCCAGGAAGGTGAACATACAGAGCTGCACATATCATCTTTCCTGTAATATTACAGAATAACTAGGACATTTATGACTGCAAAGTAGAGAAAAATAGAACGGAAATTCACGGGTAAATTTGATGTAATTCCGCTAATATCGAAAGTAAGGTAAACCTTGCTGAAGGTAATGTACCCAGCACATACCTGCCCTTCTTTGGTTTTGTAAACCAGAGTTATAACGTTGGAACGTGAGCTGTTAATCAAGAAACCAAAATTTATGCTAATTGCGAATCCAGCCTTGAACTAGCTGTTATGGAAAACACAAAAGAAGTAAAAACACAGCCTTCCATTATCAAGGAGTTTATAATCTCTTTGGAAGCTCTAAGCTCTGTTGCCTCTGTTTATTCTTCCCCTTCTTACATAGCTCTGTATGTGATCCACTCCAAGCTGTCTGCTTCCTCTATCAGAATTCAAATAGAATGGTCTATTTCATTGGCCACATCAAGAAAACAAACTTTTTAAAAATTGAGTGAGGTGGTACCTTCCAATGGGCCTTGGCCTTCCTGATTGGCACAGCAGGAGGCCACACTACAACTTAAGTCCCTGCTTGATTTTCTTCCTTTTGGCCACTTACTAAACTGCTCCTACATGAGAAGATGTTCGGGTATCCCCCTCTTTTCCAGAGGAAAATAAGAGGTTTGTATAATAGCAAGAGACTCAGGATCCATAACTAATCATGAAGACAATGCCTTCTTCACAAGACACTTTCTTGCTGAAACTGAATGGAATAAATTGTTTTCCTATATGGCAGGCAAGTGCTTTAGGACTCATGAGCTCTCCATTTCCTGCAGCATGAGCAAATGAAGCACACAATAGGAGCCTAATAAGAACGTGAACCGATGAATAAGCACATAGACTATTTGACTGCCCATGTGTTCCCTTTTGAGATGTCAACATCACCCAACAAACACAATACAAGCCTTTATAGACTTGTAACAAACTGGATAGAAGTGATGGACGTTTTCTTAAAAGATCTAACAACAGTGTGTCAAAAATATTTATTCAAAGTTTTTATTAATGTATTTCTCTCCACACTGCTGAAAATTAGACAGTTCATTAATGA